TTTTTTGAGATGGAGTCTCGATCATTTTGCCCAGGCTGGAGTGCAATAGCACGATCTTGGCTCACTGCAGCCTCCACTTCCTGGGTTCAAGTGATTCTCCTGCTTCAGCCTGCCAATTAGCTGAGATTACAGGCGCCTGCCACCACGCCCGGCTAATTTTTGTATTTTAGTGGAGACGGGGCTTCACCATGTTGGTCAGGCTGGTCTTGAACTCCTGACCTCAGGTGATTCGACCACCTTGGCCTCCCAAAGTGCTGGAATTACAGGCATGAGCCACTGCGCCTGGCTGAAATATACTCTTTACCGCTTTTTTGAGACTCAGGGAGTCTGGATTAGATGACAATGCTGAAGGGTTTACTTCTCTTAGACCAAGGATTTGAGGAACAAGGTAAAGAAGGGAATGATTGGATGGTTAGGAGGAGGAAGTGTGGGAACACATTCTGAATGGTGTGTGGGGAGAGAGAATTACTGTTTATTTTTTAAAAATTGGCAAGACTGACAAGTTATTTCACTAGGTCAGTTCTCAAACTTTTTGGTCTGAGAACCCTTTTATACTCTTAAATTATGGAGGACTCCAAAGAGCTTTTATTTGGTTTGTATCTGTTGATATAAACATATTAGAAATTAGAATTGAGAAACATTTAAAGTTTGATTAGAAATAATAATATGTTAACCTAAACAGGTTTTTATGAAAAATACATTTTCCTAAACAAAAGAAAATTTAGCATGAAGAATGGTGGTGTTTTACATTTTTGCAAATCTCTTTCATGTCTGGCTTAATAGAAAACAACTGGGTTCTCATCAGTTTCTGCATTCAGTCTGTTGGGATATCTTGTTTTTGTAAAAGTACATGAGAAAATCAAGCTTAATACAGATAGGTAGTTGGAAAAGGGAGAGGACCCCCTAGGATTCTGGGACCATACTTGGAACTGCTGAGTTAGATGATTTCATCTCAAAATTTATGTGATGATTTTTAATGTTCTAAGTGAAATAAAACTGTTTTGAGATCCTCATTCACTTTCCCTTGGTTTCCTTTATTATTCCTAAGTTCTTTTTCCCTCCTTTTTTACCCTCATTTCGTATGTTGAGTGATGGGAATATGGTTTCTGGAACTGTACTGGTTCCTTTACATTCTTATTTAAAGCCTTTGCCCCTCTTATTAAAGCCTTCCCCCCAATCCCACATCCTGCCCCTCTTCATCTAAGGTAAGAAAAGAGAAATTAAAACCTCAAATTTTATTCCTGAGTCTACAGCCCCTAGTCATTTAGTAGCTGTACAGAAGAAAGTTAGTGGTATTTTATATATTTATTAACTGTCTATTTTTTTTTCCTCTCTCTCTGAACCAGCTTTCAGTATTTGTTATTGTGAAAGAAGTTAATTCACCTGAAACGGAGGAGGGGCAACCTGAGTTATCAGAAAGTGACTTCCTGGCCTTCCCTTCTTTATTGATCAGGTTAGAGCTTTTGTTTGAAAGCAGTGTTCATCACATGCACAGATTATACATATTATGTGATACTATACTATACATCACTGTTTACAGGTTTATTACATCTTACTAGCTCAACAGTGAACCACAATTCTATCTAGTTGGTTGGGGCTCCAGAAACATACTTTAGCCTAGGAAGATCTTTACAGGTTTAGATAAGGATTTGAACCTAAATACTGGAAATGTTTTGTATTTTTAGATTAGTCAAAATACTCAATTTTACTTAAAGAATTTAGGCTGGGCACTGTGCCTCACGCCTGTAATCCCAGCATTTTGGGAGGCCGAAGCAGGCGGATCACGAGGTCAGGAGATTGAGACCATCCTGGCCAACATGGTAAAACCCCGTCTCTACTAAAAATACAAAAATTAGCTGGGGGTGGTGGCGCACTCCTGTAATCCCAGCTACTCAGGAGGCTGAGGCAGGAGAGTCACTTGAACCCGGGAGGTAGAGGTTTAAGTGAGCGAAGATCGTGCCACTGCACTCCAGCCTGGCGACAGAGCAAGACTTGTCTTTCGAAAAAAAAAAATTAAAATATTTTTTGAAGTGGTAACATTTGTGTGTTTTAAAATGCCAAAGATATACAAGGGAGTATACCAAAAGCTTCCTTTCACTGTCATCTACCCAGTTCTACTCCCCAGAGGCATTTTGATCCATTTTTTTTCTCTTCCAGAGAAAATTTATGATTTTCTCTATTATACTAGACATATGTTTTTAAAACTAAATATTGTCATCTGAAACACACTGATTTTCACTCTGCTTTTCTCACTTAGCATAGCCCTTGTAACTTAGACTGAGACTTCTTATGATCTTTTTTGGAATTTTAAAGTCTGAGAAAGATATATTTGTCATTTGTGATCAAATTAATATTCTTTTTACAGCCTAATTTTATCCAGTCTTTTTTTTTTTTTTTTTTTTTCATACGGAGTCTTGCTCTGTCGCCCAGGCTGGAGTGCAACGGCACAATCTCCGCTCACTGCAATTTCCACCTCTGGGACTCAGCCTCCCCAGTAGCTGGGACCACAGGCACCCGCCATCATTCCTGGCTAATTTTTGTATTTTTGTACAGATGAAGTTTCACCATGTTGGCCAGGCTGATCTCAAACTCCTGACCTCAGGTG